CAGAGGCGCGGCCTACGGTGGCCCGGCGGCTAGGGGGCGCCGCGCGGGGCGGAACTCGGCGTCCTGTCCGGGCGGAAGGAAGGGCTACTGCTGGGGCGGCGCGGGCGCCGCCTGCCACGGCCTGGCGGGGGCGGCCTGGGACAGCGGACCGACGAGGACTCTCGTGGGGGGCGGCCCGGGCGGAGGCCGCGGACAGCCGGGGGCGCTCGTAGGGGTGGCCGGGGTGGCCCTGCAGTCACTCACGGAGGCAGGGGACCTGGAGTCCCGACTGTGGCGGAGGCGGGGCCCGCAGCACCCCCTCTGGAGGTGGAAGGGAGCCCTCCGGTTCCCGGTGCGCTCCGGCGCACAGCCCGCCGTGGTCCAGTCTGGAAGCCGCGCCCTCGCGGGCACTGGGCCGATTGCCTTTCTTCACCTGGTGGAGGATGTGGGCATCGGCTTAGCCTTTCTGTCTGCGCGCGGGAGCAGCGGACACTCCCGGGATCACACTGTCCTGGAGAATCTGTCAGCCAGGAAAAGCCGGGGTGCAGGCCCTGTGTAAGGGAGACCTTGGCCGGGGGCAGGAGCTGGTTCTGGCGGGGAAACAGCCACGCTTCCTAGTCAGAGCTTGATGGAGTCCATTAAAGGCTTGAGTCACAGTTCAACTGTTTTCTGTTCTTTTCTCAACAAATAGGTTCTGCACATCCTAATTCCACCCCACCCTCTCCACCCCCAAGGGGAGAATGTTGTAGACAGATGAGTAGCCACTGCCTCTGGCAGGTTTTTCAGTGTGAATCGGACATTGGCATATTGGTTTTTAGACGCCGCTCCCCTGGCTCCCCTGGTCCTGTAACCAGACCCGCATCTAAGCCGAGGAAATTCACCGACAGAGCCACTCTGAGGCCTCGCCACCGGCAAGCTTTCCCACGCCCCAGCGGCAACACCTCTCACCAACTTCCCTGTGGAAAGGATCTGCACATAGATCGGGGCCAGCTTGGAGCCCATACTTCGTGAGGATGGAGGACTTTTGTGCCGTTTGGGTCTTGATTAGTAAAACCTTTGGAGGAACTGGAGTTCAGCGTTGCGGACCAAACAGAGGCTCGGTTGTCCGGGAAAGACCTGGGTCGGGGAGGGCTGGGTGTGTATTTTGTTTTGTTTAAGAAAAGCCGGTTGCTGATTGGCTTCTCTACAAAAGAAAAGCAGCCGGGTGTGGTGGGACACACTCCTAATCCCAGAATTTGGGAAGCTGAGGCAGGCGGATCTCTGTGAGTTGAGGCCAGCCTGGTCTACATAGAGAGTTCCAGGCCAGCCGGGGCTGTCCCAATTAGACAAAAAGAAAGCACCTAAAGCTTGCCGTATTCCAAAGGATGATGATGAGGAACCTTTAAACCTTAAAATGGGTTCCCAACTGATAACAAGGACATTTCAGAATAGAACCACCCTAGGAAGAAAATTTGGAGAATGCCTGTCTCTAGGTGGGTAGGTTGGGGGGCGGGGTAGAAAGCACTTGGGAGGGGAAGGCGAGAGCTTTAATGGTTAATGCCCAGTGATGGGTCCGGAGGTGGTCTTCCTAGTTCAGCAGTGGAACCCCTGCAGTTTTCTCAGAGTTACAGAGAAAGGATCTAAGTGGGGAGTTAGCTAGTGGTAGGGTGCTTAACGTAGCCCTGGATGGGCTAGTCCTAGATAGCTTGCCAGTTGCAAAAAAGCAAGGAGCAATGTAGGCAGAGACCCTTGTTTTAAGTAAGGTGGTGATAGAGCACCCAGGTGTTAAGACCTCATTTGCAGATGACTCAGCATACCACATCTCGGAATGAATCTCATGAGAAATACCTAGGAACTTTAGGCAGAAAACAGTGCTATTGGGAAGGATTAGAGAAGACCGATTCAATGGATATGTAGCACTCATGATTAGAAGACTCAGTCCTACCCATGAGGACCTGCAGATTTAGTCTAGTCTCAGTGGGTCCCAGCAGGGTCTATGTGTGCGTGTTGGCTAGCTGATTCTAAAATTTAAATGATAATTTAAAAAGTTAAAACAATGAAGACAATCTTTAGAGCAGGACCCGGAAGATTTGTCTTCTGATATAATTTAAAATGTGTGGGGCTGAGGAGTTAGCATAGTCAGTGAAGTGCTTGTGAGAGAACAAAATTCTTGATAGCTGCTTATTTTCTAAACTTCTAATTATACTGTAGACCTAGATACAAAAAATAAAACAGGCAGGCGTGGCACATACTTTTAATCCCAGCACTTGGGAGACTGAGTCAGGTGAATAGCTGTGAGTTCAAGGCCAGCCTGGTCTATATAGTTCTAGGCCAGCTGGGGCTACAGGGAGACCCTGTCTCACAAAAACAAAAAAAAAAAACCAGCACTAAACACTTCGTAAATTAGTATAGGACTTGAGATGTTCTATCAGAATTAAAAATAGTTTGGTATTCCTGCAGTGTGAAGTGGACTCAGGTAAAAGAGGTCTGAACCACAGGAAGCTCACGATATAAAAGGGTTGGGCTGATTATAGATGACAAGGATCAGAGAGATCTAAACCAAAGAACCATTGGATCCAGTCGGCAGTTAGAGGAAAAACGGGAATTTGACAAACCTTGCTTCTAAAGTAGTCCAGAAATAAGACAAGTTTAGCAGTGGTAGCAGGTTAAAAGGAGGAGACAGGCACATTTAATAGGTAGACTTAGAAAAATCTGAGAGTGAGTAGGAAGTAAAAAGGTACGAGGGGGACAAAGCTGGTACCAGTATTTTGGCCTGAGAAACTAGGGGTGATTGTGTCCGCCACTGAGATGGGTCACACTGAAGCCGTCACAATTTGGGGGATAAGTAGGACGAATTTATCTGGGGGTGTGTTAAGTACTCTGAGAAATACCTGGCATGCAGCTGGGTATCTGAGGTCAGGGCTGTAGAGATTTCTTAGTGGTTGATTGTAGCCAACCAGAATCTTGAGATCTGTCTTGGTCTATTTGTGACAGACACTATGGGAAAATAATTTGTAAACAATAGTAGTTGCAGGAAGATGAAGCTGTCAGGAGAGCTGGTGTCTGATGAAGGCAGTCTGCTTCGTGCATGTCCCCTCACTGCTGTGTTCTAAGTCATTTGGGGCTAGGATTTTCCTCCATGCTTCTGTAAGGATGCTAATCCCACTCATGGACAGAGTCCTGTGACTTGGTCACCTCAGACCTCTGAATACTATACACTGGGTATTCGTTCAAAGGAGCACATACATTCAGAGCAGAGCAGGACCTAGTATGACAGAAGGAGCTTGTGAATGAAAGCACGGGGAAACCAGCACCCAAGACCAGAGGACGGCGACGAACACCCTCCTCATGGGGGATGAAACGGCAGTGGGGGACATCATGGCGGCTGTTCACCGTACACCCACAGCCCTAGCCTCTGACCCCACACAGCCCCAGCGTCTGACCCCACACATGTTCATACACCACACAGACTTTTGTAATTTTAAAAAATATTTTATTTATCATTTTTGTTTTATGTGTATGAGTGTATTGCCTGTATGCATGTGAGTGCACCTGTGTCATGCAATGCCGCAGAGGCCAGAAGACAGCTTTAGATTCTCCTGGAACTGGAGTTAAGGACGGTTTGTAGCCACCACGTGGGTACAGGGAATCAAACCTGGGTCCTCTGCAAGAGCAATCAGTGCTCTTAACCACTGAGCCATCTCTTCAGCCCCAGACTTTTGTAATTTTAATAAATTTTTATCTGTATTTTTATTAATGGTGCTATTCTTTTTAGCTTTTTAAAAATACATAATGGGGGCTGGAGAGACGGTTCAGTGGTTGAGAGCACTGGCTGCTGTTGCAGAAGACCTGGGTTCTGTTCCCAGCCCCCCTGTGGCCGCTCACTACCATAACTTCAGTTTCAGGGAAACTGATGCTCTCCTACGGCCTCCATCAGCATAGCATGCACAGGTGCACTTAACATACAAGCAGGTAAAACATTCATGTGCACAAAAATAAATTTAAAAACCACATAATGGAATATATGACCTGTTCAGAAAGAATGAAGCATACTAGCTTATACCAACGCAGAAAAATCTTGAAGATACTTTGTCAGTATGTGGGGCTGAAATCGCTCAGCCAGTAAAATGCTTTCAACCTGAGTTCAGTCCTCAGAACCCACGTAAAAAAGCTAGGTGCACTAGTTCATGTTTGTAATCCTGGTGCTCAGGAGGCAGAATAACATCTAGGCTTGTACTTTGGACTCCACATGCACAATCATACGTGCACACACACACACACACACACACAATCTGGTGGTGACAGTCGAAACGTTTTTATAATAGAAGGAATCTTACCCTCCATTTATTTATGTTAGAGCCACAATGTTCAGGTTCTTAGGAACAGAACTGACAGAATGGATACACACACACACACAGAATTTATTATTCACCTTCAAAATTGTAACAGAAGAAGAATCACATCTGAGAGTCTGAGAGCCTGGTCGTTGCTTGGTCCTTGAGGCTGGGTGGCTCAGCAGTCCCAGCCTGGTGCTGAGAACAGGATGGGTTTCTGAAGAGCTGCTGGTCCTCAGTGACAGAGGCCTGAAAACACCGGCTCTGACATCAGCAAAGGAATCAGCAGGAGCGGGAACAGGACAAATCAGCCTGCTAGAGGAAAGGTCAGACAAGCCAAAGGTGAATGATCTTCTTCCGTCCTTGTCATCTGGCCTGCCGCCAGAACGCGCTGCCCTGGGGGGGGGGTTCCCCTTACGGCAATCAGGACAGTTCTTCAGGTGAGGCCCCTACTCACAGGATTCGAATCTGCAGCCAGTTGCCATTAAAAGCAACTATCACAACCACTGATCCACAAAATGGTGGAAATCAAATAACCTTTAGTTTGCTTGTTTGTTGGGTGGGTTGAGGCAAGGTCTCCCTGTAGCCCCAGCTGGCCTAGAACAAGCTGGCCTCCATCTCATAGAGATCTGCCTGCCTCTGCCTCCCAAGTGCTGGGACTAAAGGCGTGCACCAACGCGCCTGGCGTGCTTGTTTCTTTGAGACAGAATTTCATGGTGCTCAGGCTGGCTTTTGAACTCACTATGCAACTAAAGATGAGACTCCTGATTCTCCTGCCTCTACTTTCCCAGTGCTGATAAGCACTGGTATTGTAGGCATGTGCCTCCATACCCAGCTCAGGCCATCTTTAGTCAAAAGAAACTTAAAAAGATCTTATAACTCCCTTTTTCTTCACCCCTGGAAACATAAACCATTTTTGAAGTGGGTCTCACAATCTCAATTTAATACAGATACACAGGTAGATGCCTGTCACAGAGCAGGCCACTTTTTAAGATAGCTGAGTCCAGGGCAGCATCTCGTCTGTTGTCATTGAAAGTCCAGTTCATAGATGAGAAACCCAGACAGCAGTATCTTAGAATGAGAATATTCATCTTCATGTATTCTTGGAAGTAATCGGCACTGGGCCAGAATGACACTACAAAGAATTTGCCGGGGAGCCACGCTTTCTCCAGCTCACCCAAGCAGTTATAGGGTGTGTTTTCTTCCATCACGTTACCAGTCAGCTGGCTGGGTCCTTTCGCTCAACTCCAAAAGATGTGGTGGGGTAAGAAGAGCTCAGGTGCTGGTCTTTGGTGCTTTGTACCCTTGGGCAGTTGACAACCAGGGCGGCAACCAGAGCAGCAGCTGCTCCAGTGGTTTCTCCCAAGTAGCAGGGTCGTTGGCTCTTCGCCTATTCCAGCTCTCGTGTAGGCCTAGGGAGTCTTGATCCCTCACCTCTGGGCGCAGCCAGTGTTAACAGATCCTGACCAGGGTGTCTCAGACTTTTGGTCCTAAAGATTTGACAGCACTTGAACTCTCATAGCAAACAGGACCTGGAGCTTCTCTTTCCCGACTTTATAACCTGTCCTTGAGCTGTTCACCAGTAGGGACCTCACTTTTGTTACCTGGCCTGCTGCCTGCTCAGTCATTGCTACTACTGCTACTCCAGTGTTTGCTGTACCATGTGCCATCAGCATCACTGCCCTGTCCGATGTCACTGCACCGTCTGATGTCACTGTCACTGCACCGTCTGATGTCACTGCACCATCTAATGTCACTCACCATCTCATATCACTGCACTGTCTGATGTCA